AGACGGAGCTCCAGCCTAAAATGGATGCCTCGTTATGCTCATCTCATCTCATTTTGGCCATCTGTGCGTGGTGGTTGGGTTTCTGCAATTGGCTAGTGCCGTTTTCGCCGCTAGACTATGCCTGCGTTTTATCTAACGCTTTGTTTGTCCTACAGTGACTATTCGCTATGATAACCACATTCGTCGTCGCGTAATTAGTTTCCCACTGACAACCAGTGCAATTGCAGATGTCAACTTAGATGGGAATGAAATGGAGTCTACTATGTCCAACAGAACCTTTTGTTATTGTTAAAAAAAGGTACATACTTTATTTTTAATAATACCTCTATTCGCTAGTCTAAATAATAAATATCAAAATTTCTAAAATGTTCACATACATTACATTTTTGATGCAAAATTTATAAATATTTAAAGAGAAAATATAATTATTTTCGTGGCAACTCCTTTGTCTAAAACACACGTTGTCCTTTGTGAAAGCATGGCCACAAAATACAATTAAAATAATTCGCTAATAAGGATATACATAGAATTTGAAATAAATTCTGCGGGTTCTTCTGCACTTGACCAGCAATTTTGCTGTCGAAATAATTATTTGGTAAATTGCTTTGTATACTGCAAGCCAAATATGCAGACCGCAAATGACAAAAGCAAATATATGAAAAATGAGCTCTCCATACTATTTTGCAATTAATATCCAAAACATGCAAACCCGTCTCCACCGCAGCGCCTACCTCATCTCCTACTTCCATCTCCCAGCCCCACTGCCTCCCACTGCCTTTGGCCGCCTGCTTTATTAATATTAATTGAAAATAAATGCAACATAAGCCGGGTCGGTCAAAAAGCAGATGCCCACGAGGTGAGAGGTGTGGGCGGTGGAGTGTGTGTGTGTGCTGGCAAAAATGTTGTAAAATGCAAATAATTAAATGGCAACCAATAAAATATGCAAATGAGTAGCGCGACACTTGACTGGGCAAAGGGGTAGATGCGATAAAACATTTGCATATATGGTGGCACGTTGAATCGCCCGAAATAGCCGGCTACGGGCTGAGATTAGAACACATCTGCAATCGAGCATGGTAAGCTGATACAGCGCCGAATTAGTATAACCCATAGCTTAGTACTTGATGCACTTAAATCAGTCATTCCTATGACTCCCATACTCATTCCCTTTCGCATTTCAACTCGTCCTTGAAGGCACTGGACTACGATTGCGAGGCACAGGGCCAGGACATACCGCAGGCGATTCAGCTGCTGGGGGAGATGAACAGCAACGTGAAGCAGGTGACAGATTTGGTGGAGGGCATGCTGCAGCGGGTGAAGCGAGGCGAGCTAACCACGGAGTACGGCCTGAGCTTCCTGGAGGTGAAGTACCACATGCTGCTCGACTACTTGATCAATCTGACCTACGTGGTGCTGCGCAAATGCTCCGGCGAGACCATCGAGGGCGATCCCTCCATCGAACGCCTGATCGAGATTCGCACTGTGCTGGAGAAGATTCGGCCCATAGACCACAAGCTACGCTACCAGATCGACAAACTGGTAAAGACAGCCACCACTGGGGTCTCGAGCAGTACGGATCCCATACTCTACAAGCCCAACCCGGATGACATGATGAGCAGCGCAGGCGGAGCAGGTGGAGATGAGGACGATGGACAAGACGACAGCGATGAGGAGGACGACGACGACGAGGAGGAGGATGAGGATGAGGCTGGCGCAGCGAAAATGCCCCGGAAAGCGGCAACAGCCGGAAAGTCCGGAGTGTACGTGCCACCGCGCATCAAGCCCGTTTACTACGACGGCGATGAACGCGATGCCGACAAGGAGAAAAAGGCACTGGACCGGGCCAAAAAGCGGGCCATTACGTGAGTTTGACCACCGTTTCCAACTAGTTTCCATTCAACAGCAAAGTGTGTCTCTTTTAAAACCAGGTCTTCCATGCTGCAAGATCTCAAGGAGGAATACTTGGATGCTCCTACAGAGATTTCATCTGGCTCGCGTGCTCAGCAGCTGCTATCCCACGCTCAGAAGGAGAAGCAGGAGTACGAGGAGACCTATTTGATGCGTCTGCCGGTGACCAAGGCGGAGAAGCATCGCCAGCGAAAGCTGACCACGTTGGGTATGTTCCATTACGCCTCCCTAATATCAGATCCTAAAACCGACTTATCATTTCGCAGGCACACTTGGCGATGAAATTCTTGGGGAGATTAGTCGGGAATCAGCCCTGCGTGGTGATGGCAGCAAAAAGCGCAAACTGGCCAAAAAGGGAAAGGGGAAAAAACGTGGTGGTAAAAAGCGAAAATTCCATTAATTGGGAGCACAAAGTAGCCTATTTAAGTGAGAACATTTTTAGGTTATAAAACAAGTGTAGGCATTTTTATGCCGTTCTATATGTTTTTAATTGCTTTAAAAAGTTAAGTTTCCTATTATTTTAATTCTTGATTGACATTTACTTTTGCTTCTTATTCATTTATATTTTATTTCGTAATGTTAAGTTTCTGCAATTTACAATTAAATGAATTTTTATAAAAATGTTCTTATTATTAAAAAAAAAACAGTGTTTTTATTTTTGTAAGTTTATTTTAGAATTTTTGATTATTTCAGCTTACCAATTAAGCATGGTTATCCAGCAAAGCGCTTATCTGCGTGCAAAAATTAATACTTTTAATAAACATACTAAAATTACTTAATGCGCATTGTAAAGTTAGGCCACAAAATTAATAGTTTAAGTTTATTCAGAGACCTAAATTTAATTCGAAATTAACCAAATTTTAACAATTAAACCCTGTTTCACCACAAAGGGAAACGTGAAACTTTGTCTATTACAGTACTACAAAGTGAACGAAAATTAAAAAAAAAAACGAAATTGTATCTTAAGGCACAGCAAAATTAATCGTAAAGAACAAAAACCATATTTCGTTGTTTTTAGGAGTCAAAGAAAAAATTCAACAACTTTGGGCAAACGCAAATTAATATTATATTTTGGAACATCTTGTTTTGAAATTAAAATACAAACAAATTCCAATGCAGTTAAAACATTCTGTAAAAATGCAAAACCAAACTAGAAACAAAAGAAAAAACACAACTTCAGTGACAAAATGCAGATGCCTTAACAAGAGACCGGTTTACACAGTAAGAAACGAGCGAAACGAGAACAAATTTAGAAATCTTTTGAGTTGACGTATATTAAAGCAATGATCGAAGGAAATACTATATAAAACTAAAATAACTTAAGCCCCACCCAAAAACAAAGAAAATAAAAAACTTTTAATTGAACGGAGAGTATTTGATAAACTTTTAAAGCAATACGTGAACGAGAAGGTATTTTAGTTTTCACAAAAAAAAACTCCTAAAAACAACTGAATTTAGACACAAAATTTTATATATTTCTTATATATCGATTAACTAAAATTAAGCGACACATTTTGAACTACCCAAAGCAAAGAGATTCTACGTCCACTAAAAAAGTTTTTAAACGTTTGGGAAAACAGAGCAAAACCAGTTTAGGAGGAAAAGCTATTCGAAAGCGCAAAAAAAGAATGACGAGGGGAGTAGTTGAAAAACTATATTACCAAACATATAATTAATACAATTAAATGTAAATGATAAAAAATATATAGAATAGACTTAAGTTAAAGAAGGCAGCAAGCGAGCAACCAAACTTTTGGCTTCTACAACAAACTTTGACTAAGGATGTAAAATTTCTTCAAAATTTTTGAAAAACCTTTTTGGCTATAAATTTAAAAACAAGCAATGATAGGCAGACAACTGAAAAATTACCACATAAATGCAATAGAACTCAAAATTATTTACAGGCAACAAGCAGCATGATGTTTTAAATGTAATTAAATAAATTAATTTAATTAATTTATTTATGTTAAAAGCTGAAAGACTGAATATGTTAAAATGAAAACCAAAATGTAACAAAAACAATGAAATGAAAGGATATGTACTTTTTCTCAAGTGTGTGTATTAACTTAAATAATTTTAATAGCCGAATTTCTAGCTCAAATTTTAAAACGACTAAGACATTTGTTTTTCTTTTCAGAATTTACCCTTTTCGTCGAAATATCATTTATTTAGTTTTCATTCAGTGCAAGTTGTTTATTTCTGTACATGTAAAAGAAAGCGGAAAGCATGAAAACGGATACAAAAGTTAAATATATTGCAAAATGTAAAGACAACAAAAACAAAGTGAAAACAACCAAACAAAAGTCGCCTTAGCCAAGCACCACAAAGCAAGAAAGAAATGATATGAATCGAAGTGAAACAAAAATTTGTAAAAGCATATATAAACTTAACTTAACTACCAATTATTTGTTGTAATTTAATGTAACGAACAAACTGATACTCACACAACAGCAAAAACATCTACAACAGAATAGTGCAAAAGTTCAAAAAAACAATACCTATATGTAATTTAATTTTTATAGCCAAAGAAGAAACGAATCAGAGGAAACGGAAGAGATCGGATCCAAAAGGATAAATGAAGAATTTAGTTTTAAGCGGTCCTAAACAATTCTGAACAAAAATTAATTGGTTACTTAGTGATAAATACAGAATAAATGTTTTTAATCAACAATACGAAATTCGAGCTTAAATAATTTCCAAAACAAAATCGTAACTGCGGATTAAAATTGGTTCTTAAAAACAATATTTTTTTAATAAATGAAGACGTTGTAAAAATTATAATCGAGTGAAGAAACGACCATGATGAGTTCGCAAACAAATGCTTAAACGTGTGGAAGTGGTTTGCCATCTTACTTATGTAATATAATATAAGTTTAATTAATCTACCAGTACTAGTAAGAAACCTATTATTAATAACTAACACACTAAATTCAAAAAACGGAAAATCTGAAACTGATAATAAATTACAAACTCAAGAAACCAAATGAAGTTTTTTATTCAACACTTATCTTCGATAAGTGTGGCAAGTGGAAAAAGCATTGGAGAATAAATTCTACTCGAAAGTGATTCTTCAAATAATGAGGTACATCCACTTCTACATAGATTACTTATTTATTCATTGCATAACCAATAAGCAGTTACATATTTACAGCATAATAATTATTGCACAGGAAGTGTACGGATAGCAGCCTCTGAGACTCCATCGGCTTCTCCAAGAGCCTAGGCCTCCGGCTGAGCCACCTGTGGTGGCTGCTGCTTCTCCGCCTTCAGGCGCTGCTTCTCCTTGAGCAGGGCATAGCACTCGGGCACCTTGTTGTAGAAGTCGCACAGCTTCGACTGCGAGTTGAAGGCCAGATACTTGCCGCAGTTGTAGAGGCGCGGATGTCCGTTGACGCAGACGAAGTACTTCTTGCAGGTCTGCGGATGGCGATAGTAGCGCAGCTCTCCCTCCGGACTGACGTCCACTGGGGCGGCAGCGCTATCATCGGCTGAATCAGCGGCGGGGCAGTTGAAACCCAGGTACGCCTCGGCGTTGCAGTTGGCCACAAGATCGGGCCAGTCGCACTGGTAGGTCTCCTCGTTGAAGGCCAATCCCTCGGGGCACTTGGTCAGGCTGGCCACGCCGTGGGCGCAGTTGCGGTAGACGCCGCACTTGGTCGCATCGCCGTTCGGATAGAAGCCGAACTGGCGGGGACACTCCTCCGTTCCGTTGGCGGGCTGCAGGCGGGCCCGCTCCTTGCAGGTGGAGTACGGGGCGTAGGTGCACTCTCCGGTCGCCTTGGTGCGCTGGTGGAACAGCAGGCCGTCCGGACACAACTTCTCCACGGGAGTACCATCCTGGCACTCTGTGTACGAGTCGCACTGTTCACCCGACGCAAATCTTCCATTGGGCGTGGGGCATTCCGGGGAGCCAATGGCTGTAATCGAAAAAGAAAAGGCACGCAGGTTATTAGCAGGATGGCATATCATTTAGGAGCAAGTTAGATTAAAGAAAGCTTAGGTGGATTTCGTTTTTCCTTTCTTTTATTTCGACGAGCAAAATGTGAACAGTTTGCCAAATTCTTTAACTACAGACTAGAAAACTCGAGCAACCTATCGCCAAAAGGCCTGTGCATGGGAAAAAATCACAACTGGATTCGATTGACTTAGTTCTTCTTGGCATGCAGACGAGCGGCCTTGATCTGGGCACCCTTCTCGCGGATGGCACTGCTGCAGTTGGGCACGTTCTCGATGTCGTCGCACTGGTTCAGCTCCTGGTTGAAGGCCTGGTCCTCGCCGCATCCAATGCGACGCGGACGTCCCTCGATGCAGATGAAGTACACCTGGCAGTTGTCCTGCGACGGATGGAAGGTGTAGTCCGCCTCCTGTTCGCCGAGCAGCTCAGATCTGGGTGCCGGTGCCGGGCAGCGGAAGCCCAGGAAGGCCTCGGCATCGCAGTCCTCCACCTGATCGGGCCAATCGCACTTGTAGGTGGCCGGATTCCAGGCCAGACCCTCGGGGCAGTCGAACACGAAGCCACGGCCGGCGGCGCAGTTCATGAACTGTCCGCAGTGGCTGGCATCGCCCATGCGGTAGTATCCAAACTGGTGGGGGCACTCATCCGTGGGCTGAGCGGCCTGCAGGCGAGCCTGGCCCTGGGTGCACTCCACGTCGATCGGGTAGCCGCAGGGGTAGCCCGTGGACTTCTCGTTGTACAGCAGACCGTCGGGGCAGAGCTTCTCCTCGGCCACGCCGTTCTTGCACTCAATGTAGGCATCGCAGGATCCGGACACGGGAGCGGTGCCATTCGCCTCCCTGCATCCGCCGGCGGCAGCGGCAGCTGGAAGAAATAGCGTACGACGATTAATATCGATCCAGGGGATTGGAGTGGCAAGCTTACCTCTAATGAGTTATGATGGGAAACTGGCTCTTTTTTTGCTTTAGCTATTCGATACGTACTTTATGATCAACGAGTCGTGGGATTGCCGCAGGGCAGCTTGCCACTTGACAATGGATTTTCTCGCCTTCCCGCGACATTACATACACATACACCCGGGTATTGAAACTTTAATGACTTGGTGGGCACATACCCCGGTTGTTGAACCCGCGAATGTGATTCGAAAATGTTTACTTAATGCGATGTAAGAGTGAAAAGTTTGCGTTGAAGAAAAGTGCCAGGGACTTGGATGAAGTAATGGGAATGGGACTTGTGAAGTTGGTTGTTGGGACTGTCAGGAATGCACACAAACCATATTGTTTGCTAACAATGCCATCTAATTCCAAAAGCAAAATATCTTAGGAATAAATCGTAAAATCCCACATGAAGGGTTGCTATTTTCGAGTACCTGCACTATTAAAAACCTGTTGCCATGTTAACCAGTTTAAAAATGGGCATATTTAGCTGCTGTCACTGACGTCACTAACCGCTTTTATTAATTATAGGCGGAACAATTTAATATCAAGCCGATTTATATAAGAATACTATTTATCTTGTGAGCATTCTGCCTATAATTTGTATGGTTTTTAATTATGTATTTTCTTTCCTCTGCCATAAGTTTTAAGTTTCAACGAGTTCCCCTGTGCTTAACTAAATTATTTGAATCAATAAACATGCAAATACTAATCCACATTTGAGCTCAGATACATTTTGACTAAAAACGTGACGTCCATCTCGAAATCCGATTCGTGACCGTTGGTTTTTCGCGAGATCTGACACAGTAAAGATGTCGTACCGAATCGAAAGAGGTGCAAACGCGCTTAAAGGTCACCACAACCGGCTGAGCACGCACCGAGATGGATCTGTCGCCCCAAGCTCCCTAACATGTCTGACCGCTATCCGCGAGATAAACCCGTTCCACACAATGGACCATTGGTGCCAGCCGAAGATTATGCAATACTGATGTTTCTCTGCCCGCTTCGGCGTGTGAATCAAATTTCTGAAAAGGCTGCCTGGTGACCTTGAAATATCAATGAAATTGCGGTGGGATTTTACATATTGGCCATCACGATGGCCATAGTTACTGGCATTTATTGAGCCTTCCTTGCATTTCTCTAAATTCAATTTTTTGTTACTTTGGAAGATCGCGTAATTTCCTGGTATTGTGTGTCGAATGAGTATCAGTTTTAAGCGTTGAAAAACTGAACAATTGCAAATAGTGCCACATTCAGATACGGAATATGTGGGTCTTGGCACATTTTTGAATAAAATACGAATTTACTTAAATGGAAACAAAAAGAATTTAATTCGAAGCCGCAACTTTGAATCCTTAATTCTTAAAGATGAAATGAGTCGAAATGATGTTTCTTGAAATTTTGTGCTGACGTATATGCACATGTTTGTGTCACCTTCTGGAACTTTTCGCTGCTATAGTACAGCAGCAGCAAAGTTTGTGGCCAAAGTCATTCGTTTTGCATATAATATAAAAAACTATAGTATACTAACCCATTGAGCCAAACATGGCAACGCACAAGAGAGCACTGATTAAGATTTTAGCCATTTTAACTGTTGTATAAATCCTCGTTCTGTTTGCCGAAGGCAAAGTGGTCACTAAAAGGTTAACTAAGGAAGAGCTACTGCGATGCTCTGCCAACGAGCTGACAATTTCGACTGTTTTGCGCTAGAAACGCAGCGCAGATATTAACTGGGTAACCTCACATTCGTAGCTGAAGCTGAAGCTGACGCTCAGGCTGAAGCTCTTTTGGATGATGATCATCGGAGCGAGCCGAAACGTCGCCGGAGCTTGGTGATCTGCCCCTACCTGGTGGGGATTCGCAGCAGCTTTTGCTGTCGCCGTCGTAGTCTCAGGCTCAATTGCCATAAAAACAAACTTGCCAATAAATAACGAATAAACGAAAAGACATCGGATGGCACAACATTTCGACAGCAATGAAACATGATTGCAACTGGCAATTAAAGGTAAAGTTAAAAACCCTTGGGTATTTCCATTATTCCAAACATATATTGTATAATGATATTTCATTATTAGAATATACTTTCTTCTGGCAATTTTTTTCCGCTTCAGCACTTGTCAGATTCTTGAACAAGTGTCTTAAAAATAAGGAATAAATACGTTCGCTTTCGCTTGAGATGAGTCAGTTAATCAAACCTGAAAGCGCTGCTTCAAGTTTCAGCTAGCAACTGTTTTAAATATTAATCAACGAAGTCTGCATTTAATTTACGTTTGACTTGATTTCCATATTTCGCACTTTTGTTTTCGGTGACCAGCCAGCCGAAAATCAATAGAAACCAGAAAATCGAACCTAAAGTCAAGGCCAACTGCGCCCATGAGGCCGTACCAATCACGAAAATCTGGCAATCTGACAATGATATTGGTATTAGGCCTTAACTTTAAAGAATCGAAGCTTTAATTAAGTAATGACGAAAGATGCAGCAAATGTCATGAGACAGAAAAACTTGTTTAAGGCATCGAAAATAAAATTTGACAGAGTTATGTGCCTATACCTAATCGCCCATACACTTTAAATAAATGTTTGAGTAGATAGACTTTTCAATTGTTGGTTTTATTATTCTTCTTTATTTTGTCTTTTTTTTGTGTAGCTTTCTTTAGGTTTTAGCTAGTAGTCCATGCTCAGCGGATTTGCAATTACCTATTAAAACATTTTTATTTGGACATATGAGGCGTTCTTGAAATGTGTGTAAATCTAAATTTTACCATCAAGGACTTCTAGTCAAATTAGTTATAAATCCTAGTAAAATTAGATGACAACTTAATTAAAAGTATTCTTCATTAAACAAAAGAAGTTAAATAATTGGCAGGCTGTGAATCATCAAGAAGACTCATTCAATACGAATTGTGACATAGACTCAAGTTATAAAAAATAATCTATTTCGATATATAGTAAACATTTTAGTTTAATACATTGCCATACGACTTTATTTATATACATACAAAAATATGCTGTATGCTTGAACACACAGCGTTGCCAATTTAATTGCAAACTCAATATTATTCAGCTGCTTGATTAATGTTCTTACAAATAATTTATGTTCATCGTTTTGTCTAAGGCACTTTTACACTTTTCTTTACATCATACAAATATACTTTTTAATTCAAATTGTTGTATTCTAATTATATATTAATTCTGCTCTTAGCTACATTTTTAACATTTTCATTATGTTTAGTGATATTTTAGTCTTACGAATGGAAAATATGTAATTAAATCAATTTTTGAGCGAAGACTTGATTTGCAAACATGATATCAGCGGAATCAAGGCTTATGTACTTATACAAACACCAATTGTTGTATGTTGTTCCCAAGTCACTTTCAACACGTACTTCATTAAATATTCAACAACATACGTAAAATTTGCTGTATTTCAGCTAAGTACTAATCTTTTTTAAACTCTCTAAAACCGACAGCTTAGTTACAATTACATTTCTTTAATGTGTAAGGCCTACGCAACAAAAACCTTCAGCATTTCACTCGAAATCTAATCGCGGATTCGATTTCACCATGTTGTTTTAAACATTTATATGTGCACAAGTTTGACTTAATGTTCAACACTAATTAAAAACATATACAAAACTAAATTTAGATTAAGTTTAATGCATATGGGTCTCTGATCTGTCTTTTTTGATCGTTCCCTCATTCTTATCAAATAGGTTTAACATCTCCAAATCGCTTTACTAGTACAAATATCACGGTTCGCATTTATGCCTATTGAAATGTTATTTTCAATTGCATTAATTGCTCAGCCTACCATTCAGTGCGGTAAGTAAACAAATCAATTCTCAATGTGTGTGTTTCTTGTATAAATTTTAATAGTAATTGTGTTTTGTTTTGCTTAAACTTGTCTTTATCATTAGTACTATTACGCTTTAACTCTCAAAGTCTATGTAATACGTTTCAATTCAATGATTCCTACTCTGCTAATCAAGTCAAATATTTAACGTTGGAATTGTTTTGGCCCGGTATCGGTCTAATCTACGTTTTGGTCTTTGCAGTAAGTCTACATTGCCCAAAAAACATTGTTAATCTATGCGTTTACTGCGGAAATATAGAAACACAAAGGTGGTAAGACTGCTTGTTTTGCTGATGGATAGGAATCTCGGCCCGGTATACAAAAATAATGTTTCTCTCCATTTCTCGCTTGAGTATTTTGAAAAGAAAATCAGATAACTCGTTAATGCATATGGAAAATTCAACTAAATAACTTTAGACTTATGTTTATGGCCTAGACTAAAAGAATAGTAACTGATAATGACTGCCTATGAGTGGTGGCCATCCCACAACTCCAGTCTCTGGCTGCTTATGTCCAGGGAGCAGGAGGGAGGAACGATCCAAGTGTTTTATTATTTACAGAAATTCAATGGATGTGGATCAATTGCAGGCGTAGATTCCTAGGCACGCTCTATCAAAAGAGCCGTCTGCTTACTTGGCGGCCACTTCCAACATAAAAATGGCCAGCTAAATGGAACACACCATGACACCTAAAAGCCACATTTAACTACGTTAAGTCTATGTAAGCCAAGCTCTCAAGGCTTCGCAGAGTAGAAAAAGATAACCAAGAACGCGGTAAAACCCAATAGGCCCCATGGCGTTACACGTCCTGACCTATAGCTAAGCCTAACTACATAATGCTCTATAGTTCTAGGGCTAAGTCTCTAGCTAATTGTAAAACGCGCACTTGAAGTGCGCATTCAATGCTATAGAGGGAATGGGAACCGGTGGTCGACACAACCGATCTATAGCATTGCAAATAGTAATAGTGAAGTTGGTTGTAGTCTTTTCGCCTTTTCCTCCTTCCCGTTCAGTCGGGACTGACCTCAGCTCGGTTTCAGGATTAGTTACTATATCGCACATCCCTTTCGCATGCCGTACATTATTTTCAGTTCTGGATAGATGATCTTCCGTATCAGCTGGTTCGTCTTGCCGGACAACATCGCCCGTCGATTGTCCTTCTTCAGCACCTTGATGCCCGGCTTGTGCACCAGGAAGGCGTTGTCCAGTATGTGGAACTCGTAGTCCATTACGCAGAGCGCATAGCCCTGCGATTGCACAATATTATTCAGTTTATAATTGCCGTGCAGCTATAATGCCGTTTGACTCACCTGAGGCATCTTGTCGCTTTTACCCTCCCAGCTGAGCCGTTCATCGTAGTGGGGATCGGCATGAGTGCCAATATAGATGGGCTCCCAGTGCACATAGTAACCTGTTCGTTTTCCTGCAGAGACAACATGAAATGAATCTAGCAGGGCACAAGGATGTCGTTGTATATGCAGTACCTATGTGAAACACACTTAATTCATCCGTCTCGTTGGCGGACATCCACTCCTTGGACTTGGGCACCCCGTGGCAACTGGCGCACACCCGCTTGTGGAATGGTATGGCTTTGCCCGTGCGCAGGAACTCCTGCAGCTCCGTCTTGTCGTGAGGCACTGGCGAGTTCTCCTCCACCTCGAAGATGGCCAATGGAAATACTCTATAATTCGCAAGAGAAGATAGATGGGCTTTCTTGCCATGAACTGGAGCCACTCACCTGGGTGCCTTGCGTCTCAAGTACTGCTCGTTGCGGGCAATCATCTCGAGGAATTTCTTGACCAGACCCGGGTTCGGATACAGCTCGATGTCCGAAGCCAGAATGAAGTGGGTGAGTGCCGCGTCGCGGGCAATGTTCCGACCCACGTTCACCGGATACAGCAGCTTCTTCTGCGCCTTGTACAGGTGACCGGAGCTGACGTTGAAGTACGGAGGCGGTAGTGTGCAGTTGTATCCCGTCTTGAAGACCTCGTGAGGCTTGGGCACAGACTTGGGGATGTGCTTGGTGCCGAAGTAGATGTGGAAGGTGGTGTAGGCGCGCACCAGGTGGCTGCCGGGCAGACACTCCCGCAGATATCGGATCGAGTCCAGCGTGGGCTGGAAGTCCGTGCCGGGCGCGTGCATGGCTATGCTCACCGGGGCGTTCCAGCGCTCCAGCAGCGGCACCAGGTTGTCCAGGAACGTGTAGTCCGCGTGCGTGGTGTAGGTGATCGACTCGTGGCACTTGATGTCGCCATGCTCCGCCCGCACGTAGTTCTGCAGCACCCAGAAGTCACCGCGCTGCAGGGTCTGTTGGTGGTAGTCGTGGTCGAAGCAGTTGATCAGCGATCGCACTCGCTCCTCCAGCTCCTTCTCGTCGCCTGTGACTATGTAGCCGCCGTCCGATTGGCTGTTGTTCACCTCGGCATTTCCGCCCACGGCCACGCCGCCGGCTCCAATGTTTCCGATCACCTGGGCGGGATCGCCCATGGCAGCCGCTCCGGCACCACTATCGTTCGCCAACTGCGGAGCTCCAGCAGCGCCATCAGCCACCTGAGCCGCCGCTGCTGGAGGATCTGCTGCATTGGCATTGACCAGCTGCTTCTCCTCGGACTCAAAGATCTCGACCACCTGCTAAAGAGAAAACGAGGCGATGGTGCAAAGGTCGCTTGAGCATTATCTAGATGTATCTTACGTTCTGGTTCTTGGCACTGGGCTGCTGCTGCTGCTGCTGTTGCTGCTGCAACTGAGCCGCTGATGAGGCGGAGCCCACTTGCTGCTCCTGCAGCAGGAAGCCACCGCCATTGGAGAAGTTGTTGCCGCCGCCGATCATCAACTGACTGCCGATGTACAGGATCACCGCCACATTGATTAGGATGCTGCAGCGCAGCAACCAGTTGCGGCGTGTGAACATTTTCTGGCCCAGAGGCTCGAAACGCATGTTGTAGCTATAAAAAAAATAAGTTGGCATTAACGTACATAAACAAATCCTAGAAAAGCATTAAATGCGGGAAAATAAAGTTATTTACATGCTAGCATGTAGATATACATGTACAAAACATGTAGTCTACAGCAGCGCCCTCAGAGATTTTATAAGAAACACTTGTACTGTAGATGGCGCTTTTCAAAAGTTTAGCAGTTTCCAAGTTTGAGAGTCATTGGAGGCCTTATATTAAGAAGGTGATAAGTTAAAAACAGCTTTGGAAAAGTTTTCCAACGATGAGATGTCTTTTCTCATTTTGAAACTCTGTGTTTGCATATTGCAATATCTTATTTAGTCAGTAACTTAAAAAAACTGCGTTTAATGACGACTAATGATTCTTTTCTATAATAAACGCCCGTTTAAGAAGCAGATATTTTTATCTTCAGGTACAACTGAACGTGCACAGATTCAATTGCGTACTCAAGAAAGGTAAAACGTTTTTTCCTATATAAGTAACGCTTATCAACAGGTGTAGGTTTAATTGAAAATGTCAGGCTGTGTTTAGCAATTGAGTAAAACATGTTTTAATTTTTTGATCAGATAGCATTTCAATTATAAAATACACAAGAAAATGAGTAATCTGTAGATAGACGCCGTCATCTGTTTACTTGTTCCTCAACATCTTCAAAATGTCAATCCTAATTAAATAAAGATACCAAATTGTTCAGGGAGAAATCTATTCATTTTCACTCGAAACTACTTTTTAGTATATAAGCAATAAAATGCAAACAATTAGAATTGCTGTTTGAATTTTAGTACATTTCCAAGTGTAAGCATTCATACAGAACTTTAGTGATTCAATTAAGAAATGTTGTTTTAATCCGCTAACTAACAAATAATCTAACTGTTCGATTGTAATTGAAAATATATACTTTTCTTGCCCTTTATATCACTTTATTCGGGAGAAAATACACTGAAGCTGGAGACTCGTGAAATGAAACTGCTGAACTCCTGTCTAATTGGCACAGTTTTCCCCAACATACTCTCCTTTCTGCTATCATTTGTTTGAACTCGTTATCAATTAACTGCCCGTGATTACTTATCATTCAGCGTGGTTAACTAAACAAAATGTCGCACAGGAAGTGCTTACGTGGGTCTCCGTTTACCAAGCACTCTTCTCGGCTCTTCAGTATTCCAAGATGCGGGTCGACTTGTTTAAAGATATCAATGCCACTTTGAAAGCAGTTCAGGTCTTCTGCATACAAAATGTGAGGGATACCTGCGGACTTAAATATTCGCGGGTACAATGAATTGGGTAAGTCAAGGCACAATTCCTGCGACATTAGTCAGCAGCAAATAATTATTTATTATTTTATCAAATCCTTCATTTTCCGCTTCGATTTCAGATAGTACTTTATCTCAACACGCTGAGTTGGGTAATTCTCTATAATAAATATGCCCCCAGAGACTGCTTAGAGAAGAAACTGAATTTTATGGAATTGCCCGAAGCACACCATTGGTATCCCACTGCCTTTTGTTTTGTGTGAACAGCAACCAGCAACAACTGACCTTACACCTGAATACAACATATAAAAATATTATTTTCCAGGCACGAAGTATATTTTCTTTGCCAAAAAGAAAACAAGAAATGCCAAGGTGTGTTGGCCAAATGAATACAAATCAATCGTGGCTTCTGGAGAAGACAAAAACATTCATTAGCGGACTTGCCTTGGGGAACCACACGAGTTCCGAAATTCAAAACTATTAGACCGTATGGACCATGTTTCGAGTTCATTGCTCCATCGTTAATTTGTATGGTAGGCGGACGCGTGGGCCTCCTGGAGGGCACTAAAAGTGCCACCGGTTTTGTGTGTCTCTGGGCCACTGTCGGATGATGAATTTGCATAGCAGTCGGTCAATCAGGCCTCCAGTAATCCGCACTCCACTTCACAGCAAACCGACTCAACTACACCAACTACAGCTTTGAACAGCATAACAATTTGGGGTCTGATAAAAGTTCGATTGACGATAGAAACATAATCTCGAACCCGAGGAGCTCGGCTGGGCAACACGTCTGGAGCTTAAGTTTCCCCCAACGATCACATTTGGCATTATAATCTCTCGATAGCCAAACATTTTAAATTTTGTACGCTTTTGAATGTTTCCCTCTTTCCACACGTTCACATATTTTGTGGCTGTTCTTCGTCACTTTGTGGCCCCGAAGTTGTATGCCTTACAAAATTTGGAGCGAAACGTGAGAATTTTTATGAGTTTTCAATTTGCCAACTGAAGTTGTGCCCCCAAAAAGGCAGCATGAAGTGCGACACACGTTTGTTTTGTAACAATGAGTGGGTTGCTAAAAAACAGAATATTTTTAGCCATATACCACAAGAGTTCAAGGGTATATTGTACTGAATTTGTTATGCTTAGAACCATTTCTCTGTTTTATATTCTTGGTCCGTTACATAATATATGCATACCTCATAAGCCATCGATAAGACTTAAGGTTAATAATCTACTCATATTGCTTAAACCGGTTGCTTTTAAGATGAATATACAGAACTAAAATTCGTTTAGATACGCACAAAAGGCTGAATTGTGCTCACTGGTCAGTTATTTAGTTGTTCATTGCAAAGTGAATAATAGTTTTCCATGCCAACCCAGTTTACGCTGCGCCCAAGTTACGACTTCTTCTCCACAATACAGATCCCAAGTCGCCGCAGGGCGATGATGATGGCATTTCCGCGGGCGAACGAGGAAAATCCATCGAAGAAATGCCAAACTGCAATTGACTTTCATGACCATAAAAAATGAAGTTATAAGCGGCGAACAGCGGTTTGCGGACTCCAACGGCCGCAGTCAGTGTAGCGCAAAAATAAAGTCGACTGAAATTGCTGCTGTAATATATTTTAATAGCACAGAGCATGGCCGGAAAAACTCCGCACTGCGATCGCCAATTCTCGTGAGGCTGTTTGGGGCCTCGCCGGCTGGGTCGTTTGGTCAGTTCCAAGAGTTGCTGGAGTGGCTGGAGTGGCCGGCTGCCTATAGCGAAACTAACCTTCGCCTGGCAACAGCGGATCCGCGCCGAGCTGACAAACTCTTTGGTATATGACCAGTGGTGCCCTCAACCCGATGGCCCTCCCTCCACTTCCCCCCGCCGAATGCCTGCCTTATTATGTCTAATTAGATTGCGATGGCCCCTTGTTGGGCATTTCCAGATGGTTGGGAGGCTCTGCGGAATGGAATGCCTCATTATTTCTCGTTTTCGCCGTTTGCCTCTTTCAGAAATTTCTGCGACGCGGTCACAGGCGAAAATCGTTTATGAAAACATTGTTTGCTTCGCCTCTGTGTTTCTGCTTATGCTGATCATTTTTTGGATAGCCAGCTTATAAAGTGATTGGGCGGGGGGTCAATTGGGGATGATCGAGGAGCTGACCGAAGAAACCCACTTGATTGGGAGCAGAAATCTAAGGTTTATTTTCCGCGCAGTTCACTTTGTCAGATATGCATGTATCGAGAATTTCAAAATTGTGTTTTAATCAGTTTATGTTCAATACAGTTTAAACAAATTAGCAATTTGCCAGGAAATTCAACACAATGCACAACTTAATTGGCAGACAGGCAAGCGCAAAACTGCGAGCCTAGACAATAGATAAGGCCATAATTATCGATAATTACGCTTAAATAAATTAACAAAGAGTTTTATGGCCATTTAATGATGGCCTGATGGTCAATATTGAATTCTCTTCCGCAGAGGGAGTGGAACTGTGGAACTGCCCATACCAACAAGCTGTCATACACAAGTTGATGAATGCCCAAATACCTGTCACACCATGTTTGCCATTGGCGTATCTTTACTCGGAAAGAAAGGAACCTTACGGAACAGGACGTGGTTATGAAACACTCATAAAGTATTTAATTTATATTAGTTCATTTTTTCTGACATCGGAATCGGCAGAATTGAGTTATAACCATTTTACTAAGAGCGTGGCCACGTAGTTCGCCTGTCAATTCCGACAATGGCTGACAAAGATTTACGCCAGCTCGTAAAATTCTATGAGATTTCAAGCCCAACGGCACTTGCATAGTAACTTCATTAGCATTGTCAATCGGTGGTTAGACACAAAGAGATCTCGAATGTAAAAAGTATATAAAATTAACGTTTTCTTGAATCTTAATTAGTCACATCGTTTAAGAACCATAAAATTGGTTTATGTGTACGCTAGAGATGATTTCATAAAAGTAATTTAAGAACATGAAGTATAAAGTGGCAATGATTAACCTTTGAAGTTGGATTTGCGGTAGTAAACACATTTTTGAACACGATCAATATTAGTTTCACTGTATTTTGTCGATTAGATCACGAGACCCCATTAATTCACAAAAATATAATGTCGTTTCACTTACTGCTACAATTATTTGTCATGGCCTGCAATGTTGCTCATACAAAGGAATACAACCAATTATTGCGTCCATACACAACAATAATTACGACCGTCACGGAAATATCAAATCAAGCCATCTTGTTATTCTTTTATCCAATGGATTGTAACACCCGTAGTAAGTTTAGCATTACCTTGTTTAGTCCATTCGAAAAGTTCACTTGATATCTTTGTTTTGTATAAAGTGTCGTGGAAGTTATAAGTGCAAACCTATTGAAACACATTGCTCATACGCAGCGTGTGCCACAGAAAAAACAGTTTTCAAATGCGAGTGCTGCCCAGCGAAGAAAGAACAAAACAGGAATATCGCATAGAAAAGGCGACCGAAAAAGTCAAGAAAATCGATTGGTTTTGACCTCATGGACGCGTAACACAATTCGGAGCTCCCTTTTGGTGCCAACTGGCAGCGACAAATACTGCGATGATGGGTGCATTGGCACTAATGAAGCTTTTGGCCAAAAGAGAGCGTCGAAGGAAAGACGCGGCGAAAGCGAAAGGCAAACAAACACGCCACGAATTAGAGGGTAGGTGTTGCCACGGACCACGGATTTCGGTCGAGACAAAACCTTGTACGGGTTTATGTATATCGCCAGCCAGTTTTTGCCTATTTTGCGACGCCATCACGCGATCAAAATATATACAAAAACTAAAGTTATGAAGCAAAAAACCAATAAATTGCCGCAACA